GGATATCTCAAGATATCTCTGGGATATGGGATATTCTTAAAAAGATATCACACTGATATCACTGTGATGTCGCTGTGCTATGTGGGCTATTGTAGACTGGGACTTGAAGACTCGTAGGGGCGCAATAGCGGCGGTACAAATTGGTATTATGTATACCCGTATACACGACGACTAGACGTTCTCATAAAATTAACATTACTATATTAAACGTAACTAAAATTAATTTTATTATCCTTTGTACGCCGTGAAGGAAATATTTCTAGTTACTGGGCGCACTTTCTTCCTCGGCCTCGGGCGCCAAAGCGCCCAGTCCGGGCTCTGGGCGAAAGTACAACACGTGTCATATCCGTCTTATCTGCCGTCGCCGAAAAATCCGAGCATCGTCGCCGCGCCAGTATTTATATACGCGCGCGGCTCCTTTTTCCTCACGGCCTTTCGTCGCGCGCCGCCAATTTTCCGCGGCGTGTTGCCAGCTGTTGCCAGTGTGACGCGCATGCGTACACGCGGCGCCCGGGCTATCACGCGACGCCGAGACATGTGACCCGTTTAAAGTTTCACCGTGCGCGCAATTACCGTGCGAGCGGAGCGGGGCCGCCGCCGTTTTCTACGCGCAGTCGGTTCTCCGCGGGCCTCCTACCACCTGCCGTGACCGCCAGGCGGATCCTAGGTTATGTCGCCGTGTTTATCATACGCGCCGTGATCCCGCGACATCGGACTGCATCGGACTCCGGTAGCCCCGCGCGGAGCGTGCGCGTACGCACACAGCCGTCGTCGTCGTCGTCGCGGCGGGCCTCGTGGGGGATCGCCTGGGCGAAATATGAGAAGGACGCGCGCCGGGACGTCGACTGGGACATCGGCCGGGGAATCGGCAGCCGTGCTACTGCGTCGCGCCCGCGAGTCAATTCGATAACGGGGCCCAACCAAGGTTCGCATCCCGCGTCCTCGCCCGCGATCGCTCTTCCTCTCCATTTCTCGCTCTTCCCCGTTTCTCTTTCTTCCCCTCTCCCCCTCCCCCTCTCGTTTCGGACATCCCGTATCGGGACGACACGAGACGCCCACGCGAATATTTTTGCGCGCAGACGACGATCGCACGAGAGCGAGAGTCGCATTTCTCATCCTCGGGGGGGAAGGTGTGTGCCCTCGTGTGCGTCGCGATCGATTTCGCGCGTCGCGTTTTTTTTTTCTTTCCGCTTTTTCTCCTCCGCCGAACGTGGTGGCCGCTGCGAAACCTTGTCCTATTTCTGTAGGCCGCCCATATACGTATGTATACATGAATATGTATATATATACATATGTGCGTACATAGCGGCGCGCGCGTGCGGTCGCTCGGCTGACATTCGCGCGTAATCGCGGCCGGTTATGAATCCTGTGGTTGTGACCTTGTGCGTTTTGTCGCCGCATCGCCGCACCGTTTGTTTACGGGCTTAGAATAGCCACGTCGAAGACCGACGCTCTCTCTCTCTCTCTCTCTCACCGGTCCGAGAAGTAGACGCTGCGACGCGATTCGATCGATCCCCATAAAGATTTAATCAGATCGCCGGGGCGATGCGATTGGCAAAATTTAATATCGTTATACATTGCTGCGGTTGACCATCTTATTTGCGCGTCTCGTTTATTCAGGGAAAACTTGCGATCGAGGGGAGAGCGCGCATGATCGGACGCGCTTCGGATAAAATTTTCGGAGCCGGAAATTGCACGGGTTACACGATCGTCTAATTACATTCAATTAGCCTGATAATGTGCGAACATTACGTTGCGATCTATTTGTAGTAGCGTCGGCACTTGAAACAGCTATCTAGTTATCTGCGCGATAAGTGGAGCATTAAACGTGACATGTTATGAGTAATGACTGATGACGCATGACTCATTCCGAATGTAGATTATTTTCGTTGCTCATTGACAGGTCACAGCTGTGTTATGAGTGTTGGCTTATCCATGTACGATGGCTTGGAGAGCGAGGGCACCCCCGCCAATGGGCTGGAGAGCGCCGCGGGTGGTGCGAAGAAACTGGCCAGGGGTATTTCCCGCGCAACGGAAAATGCGGCGATTGTCTCCTACGCCCGCTCGCAATTGGCAGCCTTAGGGACTCTCGAGACACCAGAATTCACGTTTTCATTGCCGGACCTGTCTGTGTACCCAGGTGCCTCTCCTCGCGCGAGTGCCATATGTATTCCAGCCCCGAGTGTTTCCGCCGACGTTTGACCGACGTTTTTCTTTTCTTACGCCTAGATTCGTTCCGTAAATTCTTGGAGAAGGACCTCATAGAGAACGGATGCTTGAGCTCGTTGGAGGCCGCGGGTCGTCTAAATTGGTGGTACAAAAGTGGCAGCACCAGAGTCCTCTGGCCACTCGCAACATCTGGAGACGGCAATTGCCTGCTTCACGCTGCCTCGTTGGGGATGTGGGGCTTTCATGACAGGCTGCTTACCCTGAGAGAGGCATTGCACAATACCTTGACCAAAGGGGAGTACAGACATGCGTTTTTCAGGTATAAAATAAGACAAGCTTTGTCTCAAGGAGAGTGAATAATTTAAAGATACGAGTTGTATTGACCTGTCATAACTTTCAGACGGTGGAAGTGGAGACAGACGGGTTTAAATGCAGTAGCTGGACTGTCGTACACGGAAGCGGAATGGCTATCGGAATGGCAAAGTATAGTGGACATGGCCTCTCCTACCATCAGAAATCAGACCGCTACCTCTTATCAGAGCCTTGAGGAGGTACCGCGACTTCTGTTTCCTCCCCGACCAGCAATGTTGATTTCGGAGCCTGCTACAGAGTCCGCTTTCATTTCAGATACACGTTTTAGCCTTGGCCCATGTCTTGAGAAGGCCTATAATAATTATAGCGGAAACTATGCTGAAGGATGCGGACGGAGTAGCTTTAGCGCCGATCCCATTCGGTGGAGTGTATTTACCCTTGGAAGTATCGCCCTCGCATTGTCACAGAACACCTTTATTCTTGGCGTATCATTCTGCTCACTTCTCCCCGCTTGTAACTGTAGACGGATGCAATGATTACGGCAGCGCTTGCGGCGAAGGAGTTAGCATACCATTAGTGGATCCGGACACAGGCAAATTGTTGTCAGTCTTGTTTGCCGTGGATCCTGGTCCTGATTGGGATTGGGTTGACGGTTCGCGGGAGTTGTTAACTTGTACGCAGGATACCGTAAGTAAATCCTGTTTTTGTAGCACGATAAGTATTAAATTATTGATAAGATAAGATAAAGATGTTTTTATCGCTTGTTGCAGATGGAGATTTTATTGCGGCAGTATTTAGACTGCGAGTATCAAAGTTTCACATCCGAAGATATTGACAGACTTTCCGATACGGACGGTCCTTTGTCAAAGACCGCGAAGCAATTGTTAGAGGTCGCGAAACAATTCGGTTCTATCGGTAAATCTGTCAGTAAAAAATTATTGTCGATGACGAATAAACGGCCAAAGAGTCCGCCTTCCACGAGCGGTGGTATTTCCACAGAAGGCTTGTTGTGTGTGAGGATAAAGAGTAGACGTCACGAGTATGTGGATCAAATGCTTCAAAATTACCTTCAATGTGCCCACGCGAGGTATTCGGACTTGGGTTATTATTCGGTTATTCGATCGATCTAAGGATAGTTGTATAGATTTTGCCGCGTGTTACAGATATCTGCAAGATCATCAGGTAGACGATACGGGCAGTGAACTGAATTACGGTGCCGGAAGATCCAAATTTTACGCTGCCAGTGATCGTGGTAGTCACGCGAGCGTCAGCAAACTAGTACCCACTAACCCAAACAAAGATAATACGCTTTATCTTTCGAGGTATAATTGCAAATCGTAAATTCCCTTCGTCGATCGTGAACAGTAAATTAATATTATTTTCGCAGATCTACATTTTATAATGATCAAATTCCACCGAGTAATATGGAGCTAGACATTTGGAACAATAGTGACGGTTTAAAGGTATGTCAAATCACTTACGAAAGGAATAAACTCTGTTAATTAAAATTTCCATTTACGCAGGATACCGTGAAGGAGTGTCGCAGCGAACACTGCCAATTCTTTGGATCGCCAGAAAACCAATATTATTGCTCGCAGTGCTGGGCTAATCGATTAACAAATTTAACAAATTAAATCGTTAAACAGCCGTCCATATCACACATGACAATAATCTCTATTTAATATCGAAATAAGCTATGAAATAATTTTTAGACGTAACGTTAGCCGTAAGATAAAGCTTATAAATGTCCCACCAACATATCGTTGATAATATTAAAATACTGTTTTCAGTTTTCTTTTTGTTTCACGTTTTCTTGTATTTATTAACATTTTCTGTTCTAAAACTGCATATCAGGTGCACAGGATTAAACTAACCGACATACGCGTTTATTATAAGCCGCGTTTATGGCGCACATTTCATCGTTCCAAAATGATACATTTTTTTTACAATTTTAATGTGCCTTCTGTCCTGCGAAAAAACGATGATCCAGTATCATAATAGAAACATTTATTTTACAATTATCTCTACGATTTTCAGTTGCAATGGTTGGTTAAAATATTACTCGATAATTTTTAAAAGGATGCAGAAATATTACGTTCATAATTACATCCTGTGCAATCACTGTTCATGTAAAATTGTGTGAAGAATAAACATATTTTTATATATATATATATCGCGTTATCTGTCGTACGGTATATACAGTAGTTAAGAAGATACACAAAAGACCCAGTATTTTGCCATAATAAAATGTATTTACACATATTTCCTCACATTAGCCTATCATCATGTGAAAAAGGTAATTAATAGTAAAATGATTAATATTACCTGACATATTACCCATATTCACTAAAATATTGACAAAGCATATGTGTGTAGTAGTATTACGCTAATTTTATTAATAACTGTACGAAGAAAACATTTTTTATTGGTATGTACAAAAAGAGGAAAGAATTATGTAATATATAAATTATTGTTTTTTTTCAGTACTTTGTATGTTTTCTATTATTAAATAGCTATATAAGAAAAACGTGAAATGAGAAGAGATTTTACAATACGTCGAAGGAACTAGGGAATATTCACTTGAGCTACGATACTACTACAAGCGCAGAGTATATGCTTAGCTATTGGGATTTAAAAATGTCCTCTTGCTTTTACTTTATCATTTAAACACTTTCAACATCCGATATTGGTCTTTCAATGAAGTGGCTAATAAAGAAATAAGTAAAAGATTACCACCTATATATTTCGTGTCTTTAAAATTGAGTTTCACGTACTATTTACAATTTCAGTCATACGAGCACAGATACACTACCAGAGTCGATTAGTTTTGTATCCGATATACCTTTCACTTAAGTAGTAAGCTTACATTTAACCAATTTCATTTCTGGAAAGCTTTATTTCCTCTTGTGAAAGATGATAGCGAAGAGAGATCTTTAAGAAAATTATGAGCTAAAGTAACTTTTTATGGCTGTAGCATCATGCGAATAAGTTTCATCGTGAGTTGTTCTTCTCGAGACATTTCATATCGTTTATAATTAAAATTAAGATGTGGTAAAAGTTATTTGTTTCTAAAAGCCATGATTGAGTCTGTCGGTTCAGACTCGCGAAGAAATAAAAACATGACATTGCTGTTAATTTCATTTTGTAATTCAGTAAAATAATACGGCGAAAATATTGGTATGATTACATCGATATATGGATGCACATACATATATAAATATAATTAATGATATCAATATGTAACATGGATCCTAGTGTGTGAGAGAGATGCGAAATTTATTATTGATAATTTTTAACAGGTCTTCTTCGGCAGCTTATTTTCTCTTACACTAGATTGAATTCTTCCCCTGACGGTTTTTTCCTTTTGTGTTATTAACATAAATAATTGTCCAAAACAACGTAAATTTTATATGTAGATATTATACTTGGGATCAATTGATGTACCCGTTTACAGTTTTGAACAAGGCGCGAAACTAGATGCCCGATATAAAAAAAATCGATCGTGTGTACTTACAGTACTTACATATGATCACTTTTATCGAACGTTTGTCATCGCAAGGTAAATCAATTGGTCCATTCCTATTTAAAAGATCAAAGTGCCAGCCACAAAACAACAAGCAAAGTGCTCCTATCCATAGTACTTATATCCATATTGCGCGTTCGCGCGCCGTAGCATATTGCTTAAGTTAAAGAGCTTGTAAACACGGGATTCTCCATAATGTCATACAATTATTAACATTGCCATCTGTCCATTAACTGTCGCTCAGCCAAAATTGGATCACCTTCATTCATTAGTAGCTTGTATTAATTTTGTACGTAATATTTATAGGATGACTTTTTGAATAGACTATTGTGTATTACATACTTTTATAATACATATATCGTATATTTGTAAAATACATATAACATACACAGGTTAGTACACGTATGTTTAATACATTACATAGACATATAATGTACTAAACATTCATCATGTTTAATACATTATGTTAGGCACATAATGTATTAAAGTGAATAGACTTTTTAAACGTGCGTCATAATAAGTAAAAATTATTCAGGAAATAATCCAATTTTTGCTGTTTAACAAATATTTCAGTAAGTGCGAGAGTTAAAGAATATTATGTTTCATAAACCATCGTTAAGCAAAAAAAGACCAATTACCCACGATTTCGGATCCCTCTGGATTTTATTGTAAATTATCAGAAACAACCTCTTTTTAATACACAAAACACTAAATTAAGCTGCTTTCAGCTTAAAGGGATATGTTCAACAGGGTCGTTATCTTGTTTAAACGTAGAAATTTGTATTTGTGGGTTATTTTGTGCAGTACTTGCCTGGAAATCGTGGATATTGATGTTGGAAAATCATGAACATCATAATATAAAATTATTTTTGTACGTAAAATAGATGCTGACAGTGAAATGGGTCAGATAGCACACACATACCTGGCTGCAAAACCGTGAAAAATAAACTCGCCTTTCATCGTAATGAATCTATGAGTGGGAAAAAAAAGTGACTTTGTCACCCTAGAAGATTATGTAGTATAGTTATGTATTCCATATTGGATCGAGCACCCCGTACGTTTCACTGTCAACATCAATTCTACGTACAAAAATAATTTCATATTATAATGTTCATAATTTTCCAATACAATATCCACAATATTCATGCGAGTTGTATAGTACTGCACAAAATACCCACAAATACGAATTTCTATGTTTAAACAAGATAACGACCACGTGGAATATGTTCGTTTAGACTGGAAACAGCTTAATTTGGTGTTTTATGTATTAAGTAATTGTTTCTGATAATTTACAATAAAATCCAGAGGGGGCCCGAAATCGTGGCTCCTTTAGTATTTCAAAAGAGGCCTGGAAATCATGAAAATAATTGTTCTTTTGAGAAACAGGATATTATAACAGGCTATAAATGTAGATGTAGATTCAAAAAACGTAAATGACAATGACGATGGCTTAAGAGACACATACGGAACATAAAATTATTCTTGGAGTTTTCGATTCTTTTTTTGACAAAAAAGTTATTGGAATTTTGATAATGCAGAGAACAATAGAGAAATCGTCCGGTTTAAAAGCTCGTTAATTTATTAATCTATACAGAACTGATATATAATAATTAGCGGGCTTTTGTTATTATCGTTTAAGAAATGGATCACGATTCCCCATTGCCACTATCGTCGCCGTCTTCGTAATCGGTCGCGCTCAACTGCTCATCCTCGTCGTCATCCAGCTCGTACTCATCATCGTAGAAGTCCGTCATATCTAGTTGCTGTTCGGCCGGCCTCGCTCGAGTCTTTATGCAATAATCCTCCAGAGTTACAGGCACGACGATACCTTCCTTCTCGGCTTCCATCTTGGCAGCTTGAGCTTGTTTCCTAGACAGAAAACATGTACGAAATATCTATTGATAAAATACCTACCTCGCTAGTTGCAGCCAGTGTTCTGTTTATCAAACGAAGGAAGATTAAAGTTACTTTTTAAATTATCCGCTTAAATCTTCTTGAGAATGTTCTGGTTTTCTAAACACTTTTTTTTATCGCCGATAAAATAATTTTATTAACTACTTCATTCGTGGACAAATTCTAGGAAACGACTACTCGATTTTAGCACGAGATCCAATCGATTATCGTTTACAACGCAAATCGTTATCTCTAAATAATATGCTTTTAATAACAGATAATTTAGTACAACTGTTTTAACAAATGTTTCCTCCTTTTTCATTATAATTAGGACAAACGGTGGTTTCCGTAATAGGTTTACGTGGCTGCTCTAGCATTAAAATATACATATATATTTACGTTATCGACATTTTCGCTTCCGCAGTTGTCTGTTTTAAACAGTCGTTATAGTTTTTAGCACGCTATGGACGACAGCAATGCAATTCCAACGAAAACGCGCCAAGTTCTCTGCAGCCGCGTGATGTCACGCAACGGCATTACCGACGATGTCTTACCTTATGATATTTTCATATTCTTTGTCTCTTCCTTTGGAATCGCGCCAGCGTCTATACATCACGGATGCGTCAACGTTGGCTGGACTGTACGTGTTGGGCTCATTCAGCAGCGAGATCACCGATAGCAGGATAGTCCTGAGACGCGAGAAACGCAATCGATTACTAATCAATTCTAAATTTCAATCCACGCTATCCGCAAACTCCAACATAGACTCGACTGTAATTTTGTCGCAAAGTCTGAAAATCAATTCAGTCTTCGGTTTCACTCTCGAAAGGCATCTGAAGAGCGACCGTTTTCTCACGTTGAAATTTTGCGAATTATCTATTGCTTGCGGAGACAATCACTTTTCATTTCTTTTTCCCCCGCTTTCGTTCGTTTGGCGACACTGCACCCACCTGACATTTTGCGTCGGATTCCACCTCTCACAGGGCAACTCGCCGCTCTGTGGATCGTCTACAGGTGGATGTAGGATTGATATGCAGAGATCGCCGTTCTATAGAGAGAAAGAAGTGAGCTTTTAGACCACGCCAATTCTCATTATGCCAACACCCGCGTCCTCCTGTTCGGTCAACGTGGCTCGCTTTGTCTCAGGCGACACGTTGAACTGGACGTATCTTATTTTCAAAAGTTTGCCCGACCAACCGTGTCTTTGTATTTTCTCGCATATGCGTGCCGATGAATTTACTGTTGACTAAAATAAGCACAAAGATGCTCGCTTAAAGATATATATATATCTAAATGTATTTACTGTTATTTGAGGAAAGAGAAAGAGCCGTAAGTTTGTGCGCGCGCGACGTTCACGATTCTATTTTCCTTTCGCCGACGTGCGGCGACCTCGGGGCGCTTCTGGTTCCGCGTTTGCTGTCCCTGAGAGAAGACGCGCCGTCGCTCGAAGGACGAGACCTCCTCGCGTACCTTTACAGTACGCGAGGAGAGAAGTCGTCGAGGACACCGCGATTCTACGCCATATTCGGAGGCGAGAGATGACTTTTCTCAGACGAAGAATTACACGTTATTATCGATGCCGCGCGCAAAAGCATCGGTATCTACGAGGCGCCAAGGCTGGCGTAAATAAATAAATAAATAAATAAAAAAAAGAGAGACGTAGATCTTGGGCGGTTCTGTAATCGCGTGTCATGAGAACGACGACTGCTGCGCACGTCTCCTCGCGAGAACCGCTTCTATCTCTCGTCTCTCCCGAGCGAAGACGTTCGGCAAGTAGGACAAGGCGCATCGTGGTTTCACCGTGGCTTGGCTCCGAACACCTCGTAATAAGCCACGAAGGCGGAGGCGAGCTCCTCGAGTAAACGCCCGGCACTTGACACGACCGCTCCGACGGCGATAGCATCGCGCTGCGTTCGTGCATGCATTTGTATACGAGCGGCCGACGCGTAGATACGCGCCAAGTGCGACCTGGCAGAGAGGTGACTCGAGAGATCCGTACACCGAGAAAATGTGCGAAGAGGCGTGAAAAAAAAGGAAATTGCATCGGCTCGAGAGACTCTTGCCGGCTCGATATGAAAATCGCTCTCCCGCGTACACGTTTCTGCGGGGCCAAATTGAACAATGTCGCTGCCGCTTTATTCCTCGCCGCGCATGTGAAACGGCAGTCTGTACGCCGTATCCGCTACGTCGTATGATTTACACGCCGGCGAGGAAGATTCGCGTAATGCGCGCAAGGTACACAGGCGTGCAAATAATATGAATTTCACGACGGGGAAAGTTGGCCTGCGAGAGGAGCGAAGCGCGCGCGTGTCGGGCCCGCGCGGTGTATATCGAGTATAAAACCGTCTCTACGACCCGGTCCGCTTCGATTGCGAAAGGCCTCTGCGTATCGGAGTAGGTGCCGTTTCCTCGCGCAAATTTGCGCAACGCGCGCGAGATTATCATCGAAATAAAATTTCACGCGGCGAGGAAAGAGAAGTCGGCTTGTCCGCGTATGATTAATCTCCCCGATCAACATCCGAGAGTTACTCGCTTTACGGTCCGCCTCGTTGGACGTAGAGATCGCCGTTTTCACTTTGCAATTAGCGGAAAGAATGGACGCGTGTACAATGCAAAAGGATCTCGCCGTTTTCAACGCGAGCGAAATGCAAACCGGGCGTCCAGCGTGCCTGTGTGCGTTTGTCAAAATAATTGCGGTTACATAAGGATAAGCCGTTCGGCTTATCAATCGACTGGCAAACAAGCCGACCGTTTTGGACACCCGAGCCGAGATAGGAAGTCAACGGCGGCTAAGAATACTCCATTTTAAACGTTTCGTCCCCACGCGACCACGTTACTTCGCTATTAATTCTGCATCGCGCCACACAGACAGGCATGCGCCGTTCGCGATCTAGCGATCCGCGAGAATCACCATCCCACGGTCCACAATTCACAAACTTTAATATCCTCTCTTCGACAGCGCAGACCTCGGGGGGAAAAGAGAGAAAAAAAGAAAAGGTACTCGCGTTTGCCTCGTTACTCATAACACGTTCCCGTCTCGTTACCATCCCTATCGACGACGGGCGAGTGGACGCGGATGTCCACACGGGCTTTCGACGGTCATTGACTTGGCCTCGCTAGCCGCCGAAGGGTCATATACGACGAGCAGCGAGCGAGAGATGCGGCGGCCGAGGTCGATAAGCGTGTGGGAATGCGATACTTTTGTGCAAACGCAAATGGTATTACCGCGGCGATAACGTAAGAGGAACGCGGAAACGCATTCCCGATCCCGACGCAAAATATTTTGCTAATCTTGATACTTTCCGCTCTGCGCCCGTCGGCCACGTGGGCCGAGCCGCGCGACAGCGCGGGGAGGAAGCCCCCGAGAAGATACCTTAAACGTATCTTATTCCAATGAGACGGGCTTGAATGTAGCACTCGGGGAGAGCGCGGCGGGCAGGAAACGGTCGTCGTGCTTTCGACCTTTTAAAGTGGCGGACAACGCGACGATCAGTCCCTCGTGTTAAAAAGCGTCGCGGATTATCAGCGCGGCGCGCGGAGTCGCCGTCCGCGCGAGTTCGCACGCCGAAACGGATGTGGCGAAAGAACGGTGCGTCGCGGCGGCGGTTTTTACGAACGTCGAACGTGACGACGCCGTGCCCGCGATAAATATAGTACGGCCGGACGTTCCAAGAGCGTGGCGGCGGTGATACGTCAATATGAATGCAACCTCGGGCGAGAACTACTACGCAACGTGCAATTTTTCGAGTCGGTCTTTTTTTTTCAACTTTCTTTTTCCGCCCCTTCCCCGCCCCGCCCGGCCCCGTTGCGTCTCGATGGAAACGACCGGCCCGGGGTTTCGACGGCCCGGGTGGTTTCACAAGCGCTGAAAGTGACGATGTAAAAGCTGATGGTTGTAAAAGCCATGGCGGCGGAGGGTGGAAGATAAAGAGAGGCGGACGGACGAGCGGACAGAGCGGGACGGTCGTTACACAGCGAGGGGCGGCGAGAGCGGGACGGATGAACAGAAAAGGGACGCAAGGGAGACGGGGAGGACACGCACGTACACACGTACGAGAGGAAAGGGTCGAAACGGGGGGGGGGGGGG